CTACACAATTTGCTATATGACTACTTTGTATCGAAAGAGATAACTGTTCTGTGTTAAATGACTATTTTTTTTTTTCAATTTTAAAGTACAGAACACTCTTTTAAAATAGGTGTATATTTTGTATTGGACTTAGTATAGGGTGTTATCTCCGGAAAGTTTTAGACTTTATTTCATCGCATAAACACAGAGGAATAAACACAACTGTTACATATCTTGGAATAAAATGTGTTTAATAGGTTAAAATCTGCGGATGAAGTTAACGTGAATTAAAAAACCATTGATAAAATATGCTTTTTTCGGATTGATTAATATTGTCAATAAATTACTTGTTATGGATGTTTTTCTACCTGCTTTGTTAATAATAAATTACTTATAAGTTCCAATTAATGCTAATTACTATATTTATCCTTATAATGAAAAAATTTATTTTAACATTGCGTTTCAAATATGCCAATTATTGCACTCGTCATAGGATAAGTTAGCTGAGATGGGATTCTTTTAAGGACTGTTTGGCAATGTAAACGTTGAGAGGGGGAAAAAGGAAAATAAAAGATAAATAATAATAATAATAATAATAATAATAATAATAATAATAATAATAATAAAGTGAGTTATTTGATAGAACGAAAATATACAGAAGTTTTCATAAAAAATTAAAGCGTTTCACTTAATTAATATCTGGCTGGAGTTGTGAATAAATGCCTTATTCCTGTATATTTTCAATGGATTATGTTTTTATAATTGGAAAATGTTTCATGCACATCTAAAATGTTCATTTATATTTAAAAGAGAGAAATATATTAAAAAGGTAATAAATTTATAAAAGATATAATATAACAAGAGAGATAGACGAAATGAAAGAAAGATGTGTTTAATTAAAAAATAAATAAAGTCTAAGTTTGATGAATTACTTTATCGTAAATTTTACTTAGAAGGGTCTGATCTAATTTGTAAAAAAACATGACATAATGTGCAAGCTCATTTAAAAGTTTGTTTTACGATAAAAGTTTTTAAAATTTAATAGATTTATTATATTATTATTTTAATAGATCATTCAATAATTCAAAAGCTAGATCGACAACAATTCATGAAAAAAAAGAGGACACGACAGAAAAATAGTGAAATTAATAACATGTTATTTGAAGTAATTAATAAATGAGAAGTAAAGTTCTCATTTAGAAGAACATATTGTTGTTACATTGAAATTTTAGAAAATAGTTCTTAGAAGAAATGCCAAATTCCGTGATGTGAACTAAATGGTCCCATAACTACCTTGTGCACCATCATCTGACATTGTCGTTGATGGAAGGAATACAAATGAATTTGGCCATCGTTTATCCAATCACTTTTCAGTATTGGCTTTTCATCATCGTTCGTTGCCGACAAATTCTTGAGTCTCATCGTTCTGTATTACCTTCAAACATTGGTACTTGGAAAATCTTAACAATGTCCTCATCACTGTTCTATACACACTGGAGGCAATCTCCTTATTACACCTAACATTATATATCTCCATCTTACCTCTCCACGTCATCAATGTCCACTCATTCACAAATTAACTTGCACCGACAAGTTTCTTATTTTCACATATATTTAGTGATGTTTGAGTGTTGTATTAAGAAGTAAGAGTAAGAGTCCTTAACCTTTCCCTTTCACAATTATTAGATGGGATAGTTAGCAATTTATTACTGTAGTCATAATGTTGCGTGTTGAGAATCAGGAGTGCAATGATACGTGCCATTCTATCATAATAAGATACGTGTCATGGACATGTATAATTTTTACACACACGGTGACAGGTAAAATATATATATTTTTTAATCTACCCAAAAATCTAATAAAATGACAAATAATTTTACTCTCTTTGCATGATGAGAAAGAAGGTCTGGGATTGGTGAATGTGAAAATGAGTATATATATAGAAATTAAAAGGCATGCAATTAATGCATGTGGTGAAGAAAAGATAGGGCAGGGCAGAGAAAGCAAGGAAGCCATTTGTGGCCGTAAACATGCAGCCTTTCATGCATTCGAATAGCCGCATTTGTATCAACTTTATCTTCCACGTCCATGTTCCTCCCACTCTTCTTCATCTTTCTTTTTTATTATTTTGGTCAATTTTTTCCATTTCAATATCTCATCTTCAATAAATAATCTCATTTTATACTATTTCCCCGCCTCGACTTACGGACCTATCCATCTTAATCACTTCATTACTCATGCTGCTATATTCTGTAATCTAATGGTCCAACTTATATATATTGCCTTTAATTTTTAATATTCATGGTTTCTGATGCTGTATGTATTCCATATTTTCAATTTCTCCAACTGTCCCTAGATATTAATCCAAAACAATATCTTTCATTTTTTTTTACGGTCAATATTCAATCTTATCTCTATCTATTCTCTGTATTTAATGTCTCCAACTGTCCATGCATGGATACCATATTTTCATAATAAAAGTAAAAATACTAAAGAGATATGTATTGATGTCATATAATATCTTCCTTTCTAGTCCAATATCTTTTTCAGTAAATGCGAATTCTTTTGGGAAGATATTAAAGAGATTTAGAATTATTATTAAATATTTATCCTAGTATTGTACCAAAATTACTAATAATTTAATACTTAACTTTGTGTTGTCATACGAGAACAAGGTAACATGACTTATATTCATTCTAAAATCTTAACACATTACTCAATCTTTTCATTCTTATCCATTTGCATTTATAGATAATGACATATATGAAAACATGTAAAATATATGTGTAAGGCTAAATATATTCTTTCTTAGTTCTTCACTCCCTCGCATATTTGCTTTCATTTAAATACTTTCCTTTTATAAAGTAGTGGACTTCACTTCCCTAATATGTATATTATACTTTTGTTATTAATTAAACTGTTTGACAAGTTGTAATTGACTATCCCAAATTAGTTTCGAATATTATTTTATTTTTCACAATTCAGATACGTTTTTAATGTGTATGTGAATGTGATATATTATCTTATACTTTTATTATTCACTAAATTGTTTATAACAAGCTGTAATTGACCATCGAAATTAGTTTCAAACTTATATATTTTATTTTCACAATTCAAATATTTTTTTTAATATATATCGAATCTAACATATCTATTTCATAATTTAATATCAACTTAGTGGTTCAACAAGTAATAGCTAAATATCAAAAAACAATGAAACGAAGTAACTTAATTTCTTATCATTCGATCTATCACTTTGAATATTTATACTTCTAACTTAAATTTCAATGACCTTTTAAATAAATGATCAACAATTAAAATAATAATATATCATATCATAAGTTATTTATCATTATCATAGATCTAAAATATAATTTATATGTTAAAAATATTTTATATATTTAAAACTATTTATTTTTGTAAATTTTGATTATATAAACATATATTTAAAATGTTATAAAATAATGAATGTATTTTTCGAATAAAAGTTATCGTTTATATTTGATTAAAACTCAACCCTACAAACTGATGTCAGCAAAAAAGAGAAGAAGAAGGTGTATCTGGATATTGTTTCCGCTCAATCAAAACTCACTAATATCAGTCGAACACTCTCATTGGTTTTACATGTATATATTGAAAAGTGCAGTGATATTTTGACACCACTCATTCAAATAATTCTTCCTACAACACTTTGTATTAATATAATAATAATAAAAAGATTGAATAAAATAAAAATAAATTAAAATTATTATTATAATATTAAAAATGAATTATTTTTAAAAGTTGTATAAATTTGGATTCTCAAACTATAATTTTTCTATTAAAAGATATAAAACTTCCATTTAATGCAAATAAAAACAAATTTTTAACCTTATCTCAAATTTATTTAGTTTATAATGAAAAATATTAAATAATTCCTAAAATTATAAATATGAAACCAGCATTTTCCTCCTTTCGTTAACTAAATAAATAAATAAAATATTTTTTATAGTTACTGACTAAAAAAAATAAATAGTGTACATTGAGTAAGCTTGTTGTTCTTCTTCTTATTATATATAAATCTATAAGATTATATAATAATTACTTTTATAGTTAATAATAACTGATTAATTTGTTAACTTTTTTATACTAACAACAGATGCATTAATTTAAACTCATGTGTATAATTTCAAAAGAAAAGAAGGTAAATAGTCTATTTCATTCCTAAAAAAAAATATGAAATGTTGTCAATATAATATCTAAAAATAAGTAAAAAAGATTGTAAGACATCCTGACAGATACAAATGTGTCTAAATTTAGCGCTATAATTAAATTTGATTTGTCAAAACTAACCTTATGCCCACAAACACATTGTCTATTTATTGCGATAATTAATGTTGTACACGTCATGACTCATGGTAATAATCCGGAATAAAGTAAAAGTTGATTTATGATGTCACAAGTAAAAGAAAACTTAATTTTCTATTTAATGCAATTTAATATTGTCACATTATAATATTAACAGTTATGTAACTGTAGCATAAATATATATATTAATTTGAAGATATTAAATTTAAAGATGAACTAAATTGAGATACTTTTATACTTTTAAATTTTTTTTTTCTACTTTTACATATTAGATTGAGCTGCGTTTTTTAATTTTTGAGAGACAAAATTGGTGATTATCCTAATTGAAGTTAAAGTTAAATATTGCGCGTAAGAAAGATTGAAGTAGAGAGCAAGATCGGGGCGTCGCGGCACACTGGAACGCGTAATGCTTGTCAACACTGACCGAAACAAAAGCCTAAACAAAACACCAAAAGTGGTCCCCACAATTCTTCCGTACTATGGGCAAGACTGAACATGACTTCACTTCAGAGTTACCAACTTCAATTTGCATCTGAAAACGTATCCCCCAATTCCATTCTTCCTCTTTAAATACGCCCCCAAACCACACAATCACCTCACAAAGCCTCCTCTTCCATTCTGTTCTGTCTTGTTCCTCACACACATGAGTGTAGGAACCACATCATCAGGCCATCATGGACAGCCACGATCTTTCGCCGCCCCACGTGGACGCATCTCGACCGTCTCTTGGCTTCCCCTTGGGCACTGCCCTTCTCTTGATCCTCATCTTCACCCTCAGCGGCGTCCTCTCTTGCTGCTACCACTGGGATAGGCTCCGTTCCCTTCGTCGATCTTTCTCTCGTTCCGATCCCCAAATGCATTCCGATTCCACCAAATCTAAACACTCCATGGTACCTCTCTAACACCCAATTCATTCTCTTTAGCATAATACAATAACCTATTATTAAGATAACATGTTTATTTTCTTACGGGTTTTGTTTTGGTTAGGAATTCCGGCCAAACAGAGGGCAAAGCGTGCCGGTGTTGATGCCAGGGGATGATGTGCCTAAATTCTTAGCCATGCCGTGTCCGTGCCAGCCTTCGAGGCCAGAAAACATCGTTGTCACCGTCGAATTGGAGAAGCCGCTGCCCAAACCACCGCAACTACCGGTCCCTTTCTATTTGTAATTAGCTACCTCCGAGGTTTTCAAAAGGGTCAAGATTTCGCAATCAAAGATGCTCACACAACCTTGGTTTAAAATCTTGGCTGCTTGTGCTTGCTAGGTGTCACCATTTGTTGTGCCAATGTATATCCATTGTTCACCCAAGAAAAGTTTGTAAGAAAAATAAAAACAATAAAGGATAGGCAGGGTTGCAGGTTAATCGGTAGATTTTGATGACCATTTCAATTGATTCAGTCGATCTTTGTGTAGTTTGTAAACTGTTAAGGAGTTTCTAGATGGTGGATATTGATCCCAAACAAAATCCACTTTGGTTGGCTCTTTCTCTTCTTCATTTTGACGTGAAAAAGAAAGGTATAGAGGTTGAACACAATTTTGTGAATGTGTTTTTTTTTTAATGATTCATAGGATATTTAGGTATCAACTATCGTCAATTTTAATTTTGGAAAGAGTTTTATTTGTTAAAGTAGTATTTGTAAAAGGGAAAATCTGGGATCTATTTTTAATTTTTGATAAGGACTTTCTGTGAACATCACTACATAAAAAATATTAAAAATATCACATAATATATCTATTGGTTGGTAAAATTATGGGAAAATTGAAGCTTTTGATAGGAACGTACAACCTAATTTTCGGAGGCGTGTGTGCAAGTTCAAACTCGAAATGGCTGCTTAATTATTCAGAAGAACTTGTCTGTATGACCAGCCTATGTCCCAAGAATGGAAAATTGGTCTAAAGTATAAAGATCATATATTCTTCAATCAAAAGGCACTAAGATTTGCACCCAATTCAATCATACCCATTTTGTTTTCTATTTATTAAGATCATATATATATCGTTCTTTTGGTGAGAGGATTTCAAGTTATGTTTTTTTTTCTTTCTTGGCAATGTGCTCTTTTAACGTGGTCATATCTTGATTTGATATATTTCTCGGTCCAACGAAGAAAACGTGGCAACATAATCATATGAGTGAATGTGAGTGATCTAAGAAAGCATGCGCCTCCACAGAACCAAATGAGACTTACGCTATTCGTGATGCGGCATCAGAAATCCAGTTGCAATTGCACAGCAAGGTGCACTTTCCAAGTCAATTCTGCTGTGAATACAGTTGTTTGAATGCACGCTAAGAAAAATGTGAAAATTCATACCACTATTTAAATTTGAAAAATTATTATACTTTTATTAACTAAACAAAATCTGTTCTTCTAATTTCCTCATAAACCAGTTCTGCTAAAACCAGTATTCCTTTCAAAATCTATAGATGAATACTCGGGAAGATTTAATGTCACTGTTAGAGCAGAAATGGTATGAAAAGGAGGGCTTTGAAAGATGTAAAAACAGTGTATTAATTTGACCGGGTGGAGAATATTGTCTACTCCATTGTCATGAATTTTGAAGATACGAGAAGAGTGCAGAAGTTATTGGAAAACATGATTGATGACCCACAAAGAATCATCGGGTAAGAAGGACTCCATATAGGCTTGTCATGACCTAACTTCAGTGTGGCATCAACATGATTATCCTTTAATTGATTATTAATGAACCTTTCCTTGTTAGGAATAGCCAAGACTATGTCCCTGGTTTTGTTGGTGCGGTACCATAGTTCATAAATGTGTACCTTTCCGTGATTGTTGCCAGTACACATGCCTTTTCCTTTTGGCTGATCAATGAGTGGGGCATGGAGACAACGTGTCCCCACCTTCCATCACTTTCCCTCTCATCACAGATAATGCGTCTTAAGAAAAGATCCGTGTTCACAACCAACCTCTCTCGGAAAGGAATCATCTAATTCTCTACCTATGCAGTGTTGTTTTCCAAATGTCTGGAAGGAAAATATAAGAGATAACAAGGGAAAATAGACTCAATTCTACATCATGTTTGATAACTTTTTTAAAACAATTTTTTCTTTTGCATGTCTCTTAATAAAACAATTAATACAAAATTTTGAATAATTTATTATATCTCTTAGGATTTAATGCAAAATTATTTTATTATTTGATTTAATAAAGTTATTTAAAACTTTGAATAAGTACTCTTTAAATGATTTATTGTCTCTTTGGATTTAATGAAAAATTATTTTAAAAACTTTAAATAAGTAAATTTTATATTCTTAAAACAATTCATATTTAAAATATATATATATATATATATATATATATATATATATATACTGTGTCATATAATTTTTTAAAGCTTAAATTTAAATTTTTTTCAATGGAAGTAATTATTTTTAAGAAACTTCAAAAATTTATATTCTTCCCTTATTTATTTATTTATTTTTATAAAATTTATATAGGTACTAACAAAATTTGATAATTTATCGTTTTCAATTACGATTTCTTTTAATTAAATTAATTTTAATTAAGGCATCTCTATTGAAAAACGATAGATATGAGTTACTTCTTATTTTGAAAAATATAAAATATAAATTTATTGTTTCACATTTTTTAAATAACTCATAATTAATTTTACTCTAATAATTTTTTTTAATAAATTTTAAAGAGGTCATTATCTAAACAATTTTATGTGACATAATAAGTTGTTTAATTTTTTTTAGTTGTTTCATTAAATAACTTAAAAAAAACAAATCAAAAGAAATAAGGAGAGAATTAGGAAAAAGAATGAATTTTTTAAAATTTATTAAGGAAAGTTTTAATAGTGTGGATTATTTAAAAATGATGTGAGATCATAAATCTTTATTTTACAGTTTTCATGAGAATTATTTCTATTGGAGATACCCTTGTCTTGTTATGATTATTTTTTAAGTTGTTTTATAAAATAATTATAAAAAATGAACTAAATAACTTACCATATATAATTCTCCAATAAAAAGTTGCTTGAATCAACTAATATTTTACTTAATATCTAATAAACTTTTATAGGATAAATATTTAGTATTTTCAAGTATTTCAATAAGTAAGTATATATATTATTGGAAACTAAAATTAAATCTTTAATGGAATGGTAAAGAAGTTATTAACTAAACTTAAATCTTTAATGAATGGTAACGAAGTTATTTACACTTTAATAATGTGGCGTTGACTTCTTTACATTTTGAGTGTACATGAGTCACATGAAAATTTATTTATTATTGTCATCTTCTACCATTGCCTTTCTATCAAATCAATTAAACCAAAATATCTTTTAAAAAAATTCTTGTCTATTTCACTTATTTTCCCTTTCAGGAGGAGAACTAGAGGAGCTTCTTAATATTGTTTGTTTATGTGTAATACTTTGGTTTGTGGTAGGGCAATTTGCTTGATGGCTTTTTTGTTGTCTCGGAAACTTTTGGTGGATGTTGTTTTCTTGGTTTTGAAAATTGTTTAATTTGGACAATGGCATTATGGCATGTTTGAATGCAATAGGTTGTGTTCCTTGACAAAATTCCTAGTCAGTAAAAGTTTATGTTCATGTTAAAAAACAAAAAAGGTTTTTATAATTAAATTGTTGTTCGTATCGCTTTCTCTCGTGATTTTTTGGGATAAAATAAAAACGCATGGTGCGAATTTCATTTGAATTAGAAGTATGACATCAGGTGAATGAGTAACCTGTAAGCTTAAACCAAGTGAGTGCATGAAATATTGCATATTCTTTGACTGCCACCATTTGAGATTTACACTGTTGATTTTGCTTTATTCTTTCAATTACTAAATGTCTTACTCCCTTGTAAACCCCCTTAGCCTAATCATAAGAAACTTTTTTCATGAATCTTAGTACTTAAAGAAAAACAATGCACTAACCTCACCTTTAGTGGAGGAAAAGATGGTTACTGAAAAAGTTTGATGTAAGTTGGGGAAATTGTTAAGGAGAAAGTATAAGTTGGAAAATTAAGTGTAGTTCAATAATTCATATATATATATATATATATATATATATATATATATATATATATATATATATATATAAAGCCTACAAAACAAACAATCAAATAAGAAGAAACGATGCGGACATGCATTAGTGCAGAATGAGTTTTTTATGTCAATTATTTTGAATTTTTTACGTTATTTATAAGACTGACGTTAAAACGAGAGACGTAAATTTACGTCGGTCTTTTTGATTGACCGACATAAATTTACGTCGGTTATCGATACCCGATATTAATCTTACGTTACATATATCATTAAGCAAACGTAAAAGACTTCAAAAATTTAAAAAATTGGACGGAATTTACGTCGCACATACACATATGCGACGTAAATTTATGTCGCACATACACATGCATGACGTAAATTTACGTCGCATATGTGTATGTACGACGTAAATTTAGTCCTTTTTTTTTAATATTAGATTTATTTTGTCTTACAAGCAAAACCTGCAAATATATATCATAACCAGACAGTCCAAGGGTTCAAGTTTCTTTAGCTAGTAAATAAAAAATATAATATTATATATCATTCAAATTACAAAAGTTAAATTAATACACTATGCTAGTATAAACAATAACCTATAAACTATAAACTAAAAGCTATTACAAACTAAAAGTTAATACAAACTAAGTTACCTAAAATACATAATACACACGATATAATATCAACAATTACCTACAAAATAAGTACTAGAATTGCTGAATGAAAAACATTGCCTATTGTTCTCTAATTTGTGTGATATATTATGTTCTAGCAATAGAGATGAATCTTGAAATATCTGAAACATTAATTTGACTCTTGTAAACACACAACACGCATAAAGTTAAATAAACATAATTAATGTTGAAAACAATTACCTCCGTCCAAAAATCATTTATACCCACATAAACTATGACTCTCATCCAATTGTTGAATTATTGGCAAACGTACCAAAATTATCAATCGCAGTATAGTATTTCGATAAAATAAAAGTCGATCCCACGAGGAACAGTTTCAATGAAAATTCTCAATTATGCTTACTAAGTATATTAAACAGATTGAGTTTTGCAAATAAGAGTTTAGTTGAATTTAAATGACAAAAAACTGTAAATTGTTGAGAAAATATCAATTAAAGGTACTTAAGATTGACTTCCTTCCTTATCCCTCTTTTGTAATGACTATGTCAATTAAGAACGTCAATTAACCTAACAATGTTGATGCCACCTACTCAAATCATTCATGTTGATTCCTCACACATGAAATTCATAAGAAAACCTAATAAATGTTGATTCCTCACACAATTAACAGATTTTCCAGCATTAGGGTTAGGGTGTTTAAGCAATTGATATATTCATTCCATTCCTGGCAATTAACGTAACAAATATTCTTACCGTGATCTATGGTTCAAGATATATTTTACAATCATACCTCAAACAATCAAGAATAAATCATTCCAAAGCATAAAGGACAAGAATAACAACATCAAAGCATAGATTAATATCTCAAAATATCACCATGATACAAAAGAGTTCAAAGGAAGTGCACCGAATCCTAAGAGAATGAAGTTAGCCACTCATATTGGCCATTACAATGCTCCAATTGATGAAGAATTGATGAAGATTAGACAAAACCCTAACAGTAGTCGTGTTTCATCTCCTCCAAGACTGTTTTTTTTTTTCTCAAAACACAACTTATCTTTTTATAAGAGAATTTGGGTCGGGTCTCGCATCATTTATTCGCTTAAGTGCTCTTCTTTCTTTCAATTTTACTTCAATTATGTTGACAATTATGCTCCTTACTCTTGTATCAAGGTATTCTCGAATTCATCCTATTTTGGGAGAAAAATATATTAGAATTAACATAAGTTAAGTGATTTTATAACAATTCAAGGCATAATTATATCAACTTTTTACCACTTAACACCAATACATGACATAGTAACCACATTCAAATACCTGGAATATCAATTTGACTCCTGTTAATATGCAATACACACAAAAGTAAACAAACTTAACAAATGTTAAAAGTAATTACCTCTGTCGAAGAATTATTTATACCCGCAGACCTGCACAAACTTTTGTATATTACATGTGCTTAGGAGTATATTTTGGAAAAATTGTTGGGACAAATCCCCGAAATTGCCCTCCCTTCTTTGCCTTTTTCTCTTTGTTTTGATATGTTATGCATTCAAATCTGATATCCCAGTAAAAAATTATCTTACTTCGAACATTTTTTGTTTTCTTTATCATAAAACCCTAAACCTAAACCCCCAATATATTGTATTTCTATACTTGTAATATACAAATTAGAACAACAAAAAAGTATAATTTAAACGCATAAACGAATAATCACAATCCAGTGGAGACATTCATGTAATAACGTGATTGATATCCCAAAAAACAATCACATATTCAATTTGAACATATATCAGGAGACATACAACACTAACCTAGAGTATACACGAAAATGATTTAAAATTCAAATCCAATTGAGGAGAAACGTCAAATTCGGAAAATGAGACACAATGTTGATATTTTTCACTGCTAAAATGATCGAAAATAGTGTGGAAATGGTAGCTGTCATCATTGTTCTCGTCATCGTTTTCAAAAACTCTTATTGCGGACGAGGGAGTGATCGCGGAAGAGAATAAAAATCAGTTTTTACGTCACATACTACTGTATGGGACGTAAAAGCCTTCTTTTATGTCGCACCTAGGTTGGTGTGACGTAAAAGAAGGCTTTTACGTCACATATAATAGTGTGTGACATAAAAACTGATCCACTTTTTACGTCCCACATTACTGTTCGACGTAAAAGCTTTCTTTTACATCGCACCAGCCTAGGTGCGACGTAAAAGAAGGCTTTTACGTCGCGTACGGTAGTGTGCAACGTAAAAATCTTGCCTCTTTCTTACAAAATTGTCACCGCATTTTTTTTACAT